TAAGAAAATATAATCTTGTTTTCTATTGAAGAAACTATGGGGAACCCGAATATAAATAGCCTAAAATAAAGTACTGAGGCCACTTGTCCGAGTAACACATATGGGTACTCTACGGGTTGTCTGCCTATCCATGTTAATATGAAAAGGTGGGCAACAAGTAACCAAAAGGCTGCTTGTGATAGCGGTCGGAAAGAGTTAGACTCTTTCTTCGAGGTGTTTAGGAGGGGCATCAAGAATAAGACCAGTATGGCTGCTACTAGGGCGATTACCCCTCCTAACTTGTTGGGGATAGATCGCAGAATGGCGTAGGCGAATAAGAAGTACCATTCTGGCTGAATGTGTGGGGGAGTCACCAGTGGGTTTGCAGGAATGAATTTCTCTGGGTCTTTTAGGGCGCCAGGAAATAGGAGGGCTAAGCTAAATAGTGCGGCTACCAAAAGAATAAACCCGACTGTGTCCTTGGTCGTGAAGTAAATGTGGAAAGGGGCCTTGTCATAGTTGCTTTTGAAGGCAAAAGGGTTGTTGGCTCCTCTGTTGTGGAGGAATACTAAGTGTATAACCGCTAAGGCTGCTATTATAAAGGGGAAAAGGAAGTGAAAGGGAAAAAATCGGGTAAGGGTGGCTTTGTCGACGGAGAATCCCCCTCATAATCACTGAACTATAATAGTTCCTATGTAGGGAATTGCAGACACTAAATTTGTGATTACTGTGGCAGCTCAAAAGGACATTTGCCCCCAGACTAAGACATAGCCCATAAAGGCGGTTAGGATGGTAACCAAAAATAGGATTACACCAACTTTTCAGGTCTCAATCTTTTTATAAGACCCGTAGTATAGTCCCCGTCCTATGTGGCAGTACATACAGATAAAAAAGAGAGAGACGCCTTTGGCGTGTACATATCGTAAAAATCATCCATAATTTACATCTCGCAAAATGTGCATAACGGATGAAAATGCTAAGGTAATATCGGCTGTGTAGTGCATTGCTAGGAATATTCCAGTCAATATTTGAACAACTAAGCACAGCCCTAGTAGAGAGCCCGAGTTTCACCAAATGGAAAGGTTGGAGGGAAGGGGGAGGTCAACGAATGTACTTTTCAGAATTCGGAAAATTGGATGTTCCTTTCGTAATGGAGCTGCCATAATTTTAATCCTTATATATAATAAATGGTAGTATATGTAACACTTATAGTTATGCTTTTTGGAAGGACTTTAGTTTTTTATAGTCTCTCGCCATACTATTCAGCATTAGGGTTGGTAGTTTTTTCGGTTCCTGGGTCCTTCGTCTTATCTTTCTTAGGTAGGTCATTTGTACCCATTGTATTGTTCCTTGTTTACATCGGAGGAATGTTAGTCGTGTTTCCTTACTCTAGCGCTATATCGCCTGAGCGGTTTCCCTCAGTAAAAAATTTAGGGGAGGTTGTTGGGCTTGTCTTTCTTTTTTCTTCCTGGGTTTTTATGTCTTTTGATAATTTTCAAGACCTGAAGAATATTTTTCATTGTTTTGTTAGAGGCGAGAGACTAGTCGGAAGAAACACCTTTTACAACAGGGGTGGCGTCTTGGTCATCTTAGGTGTTTTTGTGTTGCTTGTAGCCTTAGTTGGAGCTTTGATAATTTCTCGAGGAATCGAAAGAACAATAATTCGTGCTATCTGGTTATGATAAGATTAAAAGAGAGAGAGCCAGTATTACTAATACTGAGGCCATTGAAGAGAGTATATATCGCTTAATTAGCCCTATTTGCCCTGCTTGGCTAATCTTAGAAAGGGCGGTTGAGGTTGGTGCTATTCCTTGAGGGCCAATTTTTTCTTGCCATCCTCGGTCTAGCGTTCGGGAGGAGAAAAAGGAGAGCGCGAGCCTCATAGTGATTATTGAGAGGTGTACAGCATCAACGAAAAATCACTGTGATGTTGTGGCTGAGTGGGCATTTCTCCCTATTGAATTAGAGGTCGATGATATTAAGGACATAAAGAGGGCAGCTACTCCTATTATGGGTACTATGAGCGGCGTGCCCTTTGCGAGCGAGGTAACATTAAAAGAGGGGGGAGCAAATAGCAATTTTGAAAAAAATCATCCGCTTGCTATTGTTCCTGTGGCAAGTCGTAATAGGGCGTTTTTGAGGTTAAATTTTTCTTCCCTATGGGAGAAAGGGGAGCTACAAGAAGGTCTTAGGGAGAAGCAGAAGAAGATAATTCGAAAGCTGTATACTGCCGTAAGCATTGTCGCCACTATTCTTAAAACAATTCCTAGGAGGTTTAAAACTCTAGCTCTTGTGGCCTCTAGTATTAGGTCCTTAGAATAGAATCCTGCTAAGAGGGGTGCCATTAAGGCAAGTCTGCCTAGAATTAAACAGGAAGATGTGACAGGTAAGAGCTTTCTAAGACCTCCCATCTTTCGAAGATCTTGTTCGTCCCTCAATCTATGGATTACCCTTCCAGAGCACAGGAATAACATGGCCTTAAAAAAGGCATGAGTGCAGATGTGGAAAAATGCTAGAGCAGGTTGTCCAATGCCTATTGCAGTGACCATTAGTCCTAGCTGTCTTGTGGTGGAGTATGCTATAATCTTCTTTATATCGTGTTGGGCGATGGCGGTTGAAGCTGCGAATAGTGCTGTTGTTCCTCCTAAAATCAAAACCAGTGAATGGGTAATAAGGGGAGAGGAAAATAATTCTCTGGTGCGGACTAAAAGGAATACTCCGGCAACTACCATGGTAGAACTGTGTAGTAGAGCAGAAACTGGTGTAGGGCCTTCCAGTAGCGCTGGCAGCCACGGGTGTAAGCCGAATTGGGCTGACTTTCCAGCTGCAGCTAGGATAAGCCCGAACAGCAAAAATGGCAGGAGGGGAGTTAGATTCTCGTTGGAAGAGAGTATTTTTGTCAAGTTTGACGAGTTAAATTTAAGAGCTGAAAGGGCCATAAACGTTATAAGTCCAATATTTCCTATTCGATTTGTAATTACGGCTTCTAGTGCTGAGCTCCTTGCGTCGTTTCGGGTAGTTCATCAGCTTATAAGTAAAAAAGAGAGAAAACCACCCCCTTCTCAGCCTAGGAATATTAAGAATAGGCTTTTTGAGCAGGTTAAAATTAACATTTTTAGCAAAAAAATAGTTAATAACCGGAAGAAAGCGCTTCTTTTAGGGTCTTCTGTCATGTAATAAAATGAGAACTCCATGATCGATCATGTAACTATTAGGGCCACTGAAAGAAAAACTAGAAAGTATTGATCATAAATAAAATTAAGTGAAATTTTTAGGGGGGTGTTTCTTAGCCACAAGGAGAGAGTGATTTTTATTCTCTGAATCCTGTTTTTACACGTGACTAACAAGGAGAGCACGGATAAAAAAGCCAGTACCTTTAGAATGGCCATTGCAAATGGACCTCTTTTATACTCTATGGTTTCTTCCTTGTCTTTATTAACACTTAAACAGGCGCTAGTGGTCTTTATTAGTGGAAAATTTACGTTTCCCTTGGAAAAGTAAGACTTAGAAAAGAAAAAAATCCTCCCCAGAAGAATTGTAAGTATTCCTAGATTTAATGAAGAAATTATAAGTGACGGAGATATAACCATCGAAAACTCAACGGATTCGAACCGCAGGTCTTTGGGCTTAGCAGGCCCAAGACAAACCTATAGATTTCGGATTTAAGCCAGAGTTTACTGGCGTCTTCAGCTCCACAGGCTGATGCTTTTCTTAAACTACTTTAATCAGGCAATTAATGCTGAAAAAGGATTTATCATTATAAGTATTAAGGGTAAAATATGAAGTGCGGCGAATAAATGCTCCCGTGAAAAGGAGGAAAAAACTTTTATAATTCTTGTAAAAGGTGTTCCTTGTTGCGAGAGCTGAAATATCATTAGGGAGTAGATGGCTCCAAACACTTGTGCGAAGCCTACAATGGGAAAGAGTCATACGGACCATGAAATAAGTGAAGATAATATAAGTATTTCTCCTATTAGGTTGGGGGAGGGAGGTAATCCCAATTTGGCAGCACACATTAAGAGTCACCAGAGTGTTCTTAGAGGAAGAAGAAGCTTGAGGCCTCGTGTTATGGCAAGTGTTCGGGTTCCTCTTCGCTCGTAAACGGTTTTGGCAAGAGAAAATAGGGCAGACGATACCAATCCGTGGGCTACCATTAGCATTAGGGCTCCTTTCATCCCTCAACTTGTTTCTGAGAATATGGCAGCTGCAACTATTCTCATGTGCCCAACTGAAGAGTAGGCTATTAGAGCCTTGAGGTCTGTTTGCCGGACACATATAACACTAGTGATTAGGGCTCCCCAAGTGCAGAACACTATGAGGGCTAGGGAGAGGGCTTTCATAGATATGGTTGAAAATAAGGCTATTAGTCGCATTAGCCCATAGCCCCCAATCTTTAGTAGAATTGCCGCTAGAATCATTGATCCTGCAACTGGAGCTTCAACATGTGCCTTTGGAAGCCACAGGTGGAACCCGTACACAGGCAATTTATTAAAAAAGCAATTTATTGATAGGGCTCATCACATTGTTAATGACTCAATTGATCCGTCGTTTGCTCACAGTAGTTTTACTTTTGGTATTGATAGGGAGGATCTTGATATGTATATGGCTATTATGGCAATAAGTAGTGGAAGAGAGCCAAACAGCGTGTAAAACATAAAGTATAGTCCTGCTTGGCACCGTTCCATTTGTGCCCCCCACCGTGTTATAAGGATCAGGGTGGGTATTAGGGTAGTTTCGACCACGATGTAGAACAGGATTAGCTCTAGGGATGAGAAGGTAATTATAAGGGCCCCTGTGATTACAATAATCATAATTATAAAAACACGGCTGCCAAGGTCTCTTCTTTTTTTCAGTTGTCCCTTTCTTGCTATTAGGGCTATTGGAGCCAGCCAGCACCTAAGTATAATAAGAGGTGCGGAGATAGTGTCGGAGGCTAAGATAGAAGAGAGTTTGTGTCATGAGGCGGTTCAGTGGTTATTTAGAACAATTAAAGATAACAAAGACAATAGTGCACTCTGAAAAATTGCTCCTGCTCATAGCTTGTTCCTGGGAATCAAAAGAGTGGTTGTGGCCATACCTACAGTAAACAGTATGAGGGTAATCATTATTCTAAGTAGGAGTTACTCTGCTCATTCTAGGCCCCCTTTTATTCACTCGAAGACTAATCCGAGTGTCAAGATAACCATAAAAACCATTGAGATTGGAATTAAGGTGGAGGGGGGAGTTATCAGCCTAGCAGCTGGTAAAGGAAAGAGCAGTGCTATTTCTAGGTCAAACAGCAAAAACAAAATGGCGACAAGAAAAAACCGGAATGAAAAAGGTAATCGGGCGGATTTTAGCGGATCAAAGCCACACTCGTAGGGGGAGCTCTTTTCTCTATCCCTGGTGCGTTTAGGCAGGGCATGAGCAGCCAGTCCAAGCACTACGGCTACTGCAATGGTTATACTAAACAAGAAGATTATAGTTGTCATTACTTATATATGACGTGGAGAAGTGGCACGATAGGAATGCATGCGGCTTGAAACCGTTTGATAGAGGTTTCTTCCTCTCTTCTCTTTAAGCTCCTCATCAGTAAATCAATCAATAAAGGACAAATCATACTACATCTACAAAGTGCCAGTATCATGCGGCTGCTTCAAATCCAAAGTGGTGATGGGTTGAGAAGTGGCGGCCTGCAGTCCGAAATAGGCATACCATGAGGAAAGTTGTTCCTATAATTACCTGGAGACCATGAAATCCTGTAGCAACAAAGAAGGTGGAGCCATAAACACTATCGGCAATGGTAAATGGGGCGTCAATATATTCTCACGCCTGAAGCGCGGTAAAATACCTACCGAGAGCCACTGTCAGAAATAGTGCTTGAATAGATTCAGTTCGATTCCCTGCTAGAATTCTGTGGTGGGACCATCTTAAAGTAACTCCTGAAGATAGAAGAACGCCTGTTTTTAATAGAGGAACTAGGAAAGGGTTAAGGGGGGTTATTCCTCTCGGGGGTCATGCTACCCCTATTTCAACGGAGGGGGCTAATCTTCTATGGAAGAAGGCCCAAAAAAAGGCGAAAAAAAAGCAAACCTCTGAGGTTATAAATAGGATCATGCCATATCGCATTCCCTTTTTTACAATAGCAGTGTGTCTGCCCTGAAAGTTGGCCTTTCGAATTATATCGCGTCACCAGTTAACCATTTTTGTTATTAATAATAAAAAGCCTACTAAAGTTAAATTAGTCTTTTGGGTATGGAACCATAGGACATTGCCTGAAGTCATCATTAAGCCTCTAAATGCTCCTGTCAAGGGTCATGGGCTTTGGTCTACTAAATGATATGGGTGTTGATGAGCCATAATTTAAATGTTCTGTTGTAGGTAGAAATGAATTAGAGCAGTGAATACATATGCTTGGATGCAGGCTACTCCTATTTCTAGCACAAATAATAAAATAAAAATAATAAGGATTGGGACCCTAATCATCAAACTGGAAGAAAGTAGCCATATAGCTGTCGATAGAAGAAAAATTAGCAAGTGGCCAGCTGTGAGGTTAGCAGCAAGTCGTAGGCCTAGGGCTATGGGTTGCGCAAATAGACTTAGTGTTTCTATTCAGACCATTAATGGTATTAGTGCGCTTGGTGTTCCCTGTGGAACCAAATGGCTTAGTCGGCTTTTAAATGCAAGGTAGAAACCTAGAATTTTTATTGCCATTCAAAGAGGAAAACCTAGTCTGTAGGTCAAGGATATGTTTCTTGTGGGCCTTTGAAAAGCATAAGGGGGAAAAAGGCCCAAGACGTTAACAAGTAAAATAAGGACGAAGACTCCTGCTATTAAGCCTGCCCAAGGGGCAGTTTTAGGTCTGGTTTTCTGGAAAATCATTTCTAAGATGTTTCTCCGAAAACCAAGCCAAATAGATTGGAATCGAGATGGGGCCCATTTTACGGGGTAAATAAACACGAGTCAGGATAGGCAAAATGCCATGGAAAATACATTCATTGGAATAAAAAACAGGGTTTCTGGGAAAAACTGACCCAAAATTCTTGCTGTTATAGTCATTGTCAATTAGTTGTGGTCTTTTTTAAAGTTAAGGAAGAAGAGGATTGACCCGCGCTGTTAGGTGGAAAGCTATTTAATAGTAAGGAAATGACTATTAATACGGAAGCTCAAATGAGGGAAAAGTTTACGATTCATCAAGCAAATTCTAGTTGTGGCACTCCTTAATAATAGGTATTAGCTAATTTCTTTTAAATTAAGAGTCTAAAGCTTTAAAATAAGCTAATTAAGGGGTGTTATTCTTCTAAGTATTGAGTAACTCAGTTTTCAAAGGTATTAAATGGCACAGACTCTATAACTATTGGCATGAATCTATGGTTAGCCCCGCAAATTTCGGAGCACTGGCCATAGAACACTCCTGTGCGAGCTGCAAAGAATGTGGTCTGGTTGAGGCGTCCTGGGACTGCATCCATCTTAGTTCCAAGGGAGGGAACAGCTCAGGAGTGTAGTACATCTGCAGAGGACACTAGAACTCGTATGGGGTTTTGCATGGGAAGGACCAATCGGTTGTCCACTTCTAATAAGCGGGGGTTACCAAAGGAAACGTCTGAGGTAGGTACCATATAAGAGTCGAATTCAAGGTCTTTGAAGTCCGTGTACTCGTATCTTCAGTATCACTGATGACCGAACGCCTTAATAGTCAAGAAGGGGTCTTTAACCTCGTCCATTAGGTAAAGGAGTTGGAGGGAAGGAAGGGCAATTAAGATTAAGATTAGAGCAGGAATCACTGTTCAAATTGTTTCTAACTCTTGTCCCTCAAAGAAAAATCGGTTAGTATTAGAGGATACAAGCAAGGAAACTAACCCATAAAAAACTAGTATTGTAATGAGGGTAAGTACAATTAATGCATAATCGTGGAAGTATGTGAGCTCCTCCATAAGAGGGGAGGATGCATCTTGTAGACCAAACTGTGCTCAAGTTCCCATTAATACTGGAGTAGCCTTAGTCTTCCTACCAAATTTGAAGAGTGTGTACGGGAGAGCCCTACCATTAGGGAGAGGCCTATGCTTGCTTCGCAAGCGACTAGAGTCAAAACGAATAAGTTGAATGTTGTTTTTTGAGGGACCCCTGTTTTTTTTTTTCAAATCGCAATTCCGATAAACAAGGAAATAAGGAGTAGCTCAAGGCATAATAGAATGGATAGGAAATGGAGTCGTTTTAAAAGGATTCCCATAAGTCCTAGGTAAAACATTGATAAAATAACTATAAGCAGGGCGATTTCAAGAGTTTTGGGGTTGAACCAAAACCATCTGAGCCGAAATCAGAGGTTCTCCTTAAACTAACTCTTTAACTGACACTTACTTTACAATAATTATGGTAGAGGGTGTTTCATCGAAGGTGTGGTGAGAAGGGGGAAAGGAGGTGTATTGTCACTCTAGTGAGGCGTGTGAGAACTCTGGGGTGATTCCTTCCCGTTGAGAAGCGAAGGCCTCCCAGATTAAGAAGAGGAAAAATAGCATAGCCACTACGGAGATGGTTGATCCAATTGAGGAGATAGTATTTCAAAGTGTATAGGCGTCTGGATAGTCTGAGTACCGTCGTGGCATTCCGGCTAGACCTAAGAAGTGTTGAGGGAAAAAGGTTAAGTTGACTCCAACAAACATTATGAAGAAGTGAACCTTTCCTCATAATGGGTGTAGGCTATAACCAGAGAAGAGGGGAAACCAGTGAGTGAAACCAGCGAAGATTGCAAATACAGCCCCCATTGAAAGAACGTAGTGAAAGTGAGCTACCACGTAGTAGGTATCATGAAGAACAAAGTCAATGGAGGAATTGGCAAGAACAATACCTGTGAGTCCTCCTAATGTGAATAAAAATACAATCCCCAAGGTTCATAATAAAGGGAGTCTTCATTGTAGATTAGACCCTTGGAGCTTTGCCATTCATCTGAAAACCTTTAATCCTGTTGGGACAGCAATAATCATTGTGGCGGCAGTGAAGTATGCTCGTGTATCAACATCCATCCCTACTGTAAACATATGGTGGGCCCAGACAAGGAATCCTAAAACTCCTATTGCAATCATGGCATAAACCAACCCCAGGTATCCGAAAGGCTCTCGCTTACCAGAGTAGTGAGCTATAACGTGTGAGATCATACCAAATCCCGGTAAGATAAGAATATACACCTCGGGGTGTCCAAAAAGCCAGAATAGGTGTTGAAATAGAATTGGATCTCCCCCTCCTGCAGGGTCAAAGAAAGTTGTGTTTATTTTACGATCTGTGAGAAGCATTGTAATTGCTCCTGCTAATACTGGAAGAGAAAGGAGGAGCAAGAAGGCAGTGACAAAGACGGATCAGACGAATAAAGGAAGACGATCCAAAGACATCCCCGGTGTCCGCATATTAATAATTGTTGTTATAAATTTAATGAGGCCCAAGATGGAAGAGGCACCGGCCAGGTGAAGGGAGAAGATTGCTAAATCAACGGACCTACCGGCGTGTGTTATTTTACTAGAGAGAGGAGGGTAGATAGTTCAGCCAGTTCCTGCTCCTTTTTCTACTCCTGCGGACGCTAAAAGTAATATAAAAGAAGGGGGAATAAGTCAAAAACTCATATTTTTCATGCGGGGGAAGGCCATATCTGGCGCACCGATCATTAGTGGAATGAGTCAATTCCCAAATCCACCAATCATTATTGGCATTACCATGAAGAAAATCATGACTAGCGCATGTGCGGTAACGACCACTTTGTATATCTGGTCATCTTTTAGCAGCGAACCAGGTTGTGCCAACTCGGCACGGATAATCACACTCATAGCTGTGCCTACCATGCCAGCTCAGGCCCCAAAAATTAAATAAAGTGTTCCGATGTCCTTGTGGTTAGTAGAAAATAATCATCGTCTTAGTTGCATGTTTTTAATTGAAGTGCTTACGTTCTTTGCATAGACACTCTCTCTCTGGTCCTTTCGTACTAAGAGAGACCTTAACGTAGATAGAAACTGACCTGGCTCTCGCCGGTCTGAACTCAGATCACGTAGGACTTTAATGGTCGAACAGACCAACCCTTAAAAGCTTCTGCACCCTTAGGATGTCCCGATCCAACATCGAGGTCGCAAACCTTTTCGTCAATGTGAACTCTCAGAAAAGATAACGCTGTTATCCTGCGGTAACTTGTTTCTTTGATCACCTTAGTGGATCATTCTTTCATTTTGATTGTAGAACCGTAATTCTTTTTATAGTAATATCTTATTAGCGGAGGGTCTTCTTACTCCGCGTTGCCCCAACCAAAGCTTTTGCTAAAATGTTTAAAACTTACTGTTGGATAGGTATATTAGTTAGTCACAAGGTAAGTGTGTTAAAATTTAACTTCCGCTTAAAAGCTCCACAGGGTCTTCTCGTCTAACCGTTTTATCCCCGCCTCTTCACGGGGAGGTAGTATTAAGGGCTATAGAAAAAATGTCATTTATTTCCCTCTTGCCATTCATACTAGTCTCTAATTAGGAAGACAATGATTATGCTACCTCCGACGGTCAAGATACAGCGGCCGTTTAACCTCTAGTCACTGGGCAGGCAGGACTCCCCAGGCTTTAAATTTTGGGGAGCGATGTTTTTGGTAAACAGGCGAAACCTTATTTGCCGAGTTCCTTTTCCCACTTTTTTTATTTTTCTTCTCCTGAGTTGGAAGACGACTTTAAAAAGAGGATTTTTAGTTTCAATGTTTTTCTTCCATGGTTAAAAGCGTATAAAACGCTAGGTATAGTTATCTTACTTATATTAACATTGTCTCTTCTGATTACAGAATGTCCCAATAATTTGTAGTGTTAGAGATGATTGCCCAAAAATTTTTAGCTAGCAAGAACAATTGAGCTTTAACGCTTTCTTGTTAAGTGGCTGCTTCTAGGCCTATTCCTTCGAGAATAGCTATTTTGGGGCTTGTTGTCTTTAACTATCAATGTTGGATTTTTCCATTGTGGGCTTTAAGCTTATCCTTAAGGGCCTAACCTCTGCTTAAAAATTAAAAGATTCTTTTTATAATATTAAAGGAGTTTTATTTTTCTTATAGAGGCTTAGCTCAAACTAATTTTTTGGGAAACCAGCTATCTCTGGGCGCGGTTAGATTTCACATCTAATCTTCCCTTTTTTTCCACTATTGCAACAGTGGGGGTATCCTTCTAAAAAGGAGGGAAGATTAGCTCGCCCAGTTTCGGGATTAGACTAGTTTTCTTATATTTCTCGTTAATCCATTATACACAGGTCACAGGTTTAGTCTTTCCTTTTTTAGGTTTGTTTAATTATGGGTATTTCATCTTTCCCTTGCGGTACTGCTTCTTTTGGTTAAAATAAGATTTCAAATGAATTTACTAGAGAGTAAGAGTGTTTTCTATTTTATAGAAATTTATTGTTTGGATTTTCTATGCACCTAGAGTCATAACTTTTCTATGTAATTATATATAAGGGGAGGGTAAGGGGTATTGCAAGAGTACTCAACACAGTGGAGACCGAACTTAATCATGCCTTTGGGGCGAGAGGTGAAATTATTGTCCTATTTCGCCATGAGGCGGATCTAATAATGTGTTGGGGAAACAGAAATAAGCTAGTTTTAAACGAAATTCGGAGATAAAAAAAATAATCTTGAAGATTTCCAATTATCATAATAGAAGATAAAATGATAAAATTTTTGGCAACCAAGAAATAAAGGGAGGTAAACTTTAGGATAAACCCGGTTAATGGGGGAAGGCCTCCTAGAGAGAGCATCACTAGGAGAACAAGAGCAACTCTAATTGGTGAAAGCTGAGAAATAGTTTTTAAGTGTCCCAATGTGGAGACCTTTAAGTGGTCAAACAATAAAAACAAAGAAGTGTTAATAATTAAGTAAATAACTAACATAATGATCGCAGCGTTAAAGGAGTAAGCTGATGTTATGACTAATCAGCCCATTTTTCCTATTGAAGAGAATGCTAAAATCTTACGCACTTGCGTCTGATTTAGCCCTCCCCAGCCCCCTATCAGCACAGAAATTAACCTAGGTGTTATAAGTAGGTAAGAAAAACCTAACTGGCTAAAATAAAACATTAGTATTAGAGGGGCTATCTTTTGCCAAGTGGCTATTATTAGCCCTTGGAAAAAGGGCAACCCTTGTAAAACATCTGGAAATCAGAAGTGGACAGGGGCAAGGCCTATCTTAAATGCAAGGGCTATTCTTAGGCAAATGGAGGTTACCTCTTTAACAGGATCTAGGATTGATCATGATCCCGTCAACCAAGCTTGTCCAAGGGCGCCTTTTAGCAAAAGTGCAGCCCTTGAAGCTTGAACAAGAAAGTACTTATTGTCCGCCTCCACTTTTCGTGGGGAGAATCCTGAGCAAAGGATTGGAACCAATGCTAAGGTTCTAAGCTCTAAGCCAACTCAGATAATGAATCATTTTTCGGAAGAAACAACGATTATAGTCCCAGAGACTACAGTTACAAATAAAAAGGTAGACACTATTTGGCGCATAGAGCTTGAAGGGAATTTAACCCTTAAATCTAATTATCAGCTAGACACCTTAACTTTAGGGGCAAGCTCATTAAAATAGTGGGAGGGATATTCCCAGTAAGGCCACTAAAGCCAAAATCGCACACAAAGCCCCTATTGAAAGGGGGAGGTACCTCTTTCATGTTAAGAACATTAACTGATCATACCGGAATCGTGGGTAGGCAGCTCGAACTCACAAAACAGAAAACAGAAAAGTGGTCTTAATACCAACTATTATGATTCTGATTGGAAACAATTTTTTTAGCGGGGAGGGGCCGCCTAGAAATAGTACCACTGAAAAATAATTCATTAGTATAATTTTTGCGTATTCGGCGATAAAAAATAGAACGAAGGGTCCTCCAGCGTACTCCACGTTATAGCCCGAAACTATTTCAGATTCTCCTTCTGTTAGGTCAAATGGTGCTCGGTTTGTCTCTGCAAGAGTGGAAACGAATCAAATGTAAAATAGGGGCAAGCAAGAGAGAGAAAATCAGGAAAACTCTTGGGTGTTCATTATATATGTGAGGTTAAATCTTCTAGAAAAAATTATAAGGGATAACAAAATTAGTGCCAGGCTAATCTCATATGAAATCGTCTGGGCTACTGCTCGTATAGCTCCGAGGAGAGAGTACTTAGATTTTGAGGCTCAACCAGAACCTAGGATAGCATAAACAGAAAGCCTAGATAGGCCCAGTACTAAAAGTAGGGAGAGTTGTAGGTCCAAGGTAGGGGTGTGCACGGGCATAAATTTCCATAGAAGTAAAGCCAAAGCTAAGAATAGTAGAGGGGAGAAAAAGAACAAATAAGGGGAACTGTTCACTGGCTTCAACTCTTCCTTTATAAAGACCTTCATTCCATCTGCAAAGGGTTGTAAAAGCCCAAAAGGCCCTACTACATTCGGACCTTTTCGAAATTGCATATAGCCCAGCACCTTTCGCTCTACTAGTGTGAGAAAAGCTACAGATAAAAGAATCGGGATTAAAAATGAGATGAGTTCTAATATTCTAAATACATACACCATAGAGCTAAAGAAAGGAGTTGAACCCTTGATAGGAAAGTTTTAGGCCTTCTGCATTAACCACTTTGCTACTTTAGTGCTTTATCTTAAATTTTCACCAAGACTGTCTGATTGGAAGTCAAAAATACTGTTGTATTCATAAAGCTAAGCTAGTAAGAAAAGGAGTCTAACCCTTGTATATGGATTTACAATCCACCGCTTATTCCCTCAGCCACCTTACTTTAAAAAGAGGCCTAGTTAAACTTATAACTTTGGGTTGTCAGGCCAAAATTGCTGGTTAAACTCCAGCGGCTTCTGAAAGTAGAGGGAGGTTTTTATCCTTCATTCCTGGGGTATGAGCCCAAAAGCTTAGCACTTAGCTTACTCTACTTATATATAATAAAAAATTTCAAGGCATAGCTAGTTAGTAAGTTTCTCCTTTACACGGAGACCACACTCGTGCAATTCGAGTTGTTTTGAAGCTTTGGCAACGTCCTAGTTGATCTAGGGATTTGCAATCCGAAATGTTAGTTACACTACAAAACCCAAGGACTAAGAAGTTTCCAATTCTTGTTTAAAGCTTTGAAGGCTTTCAGTTTATTTAACTTAAGTCCTTTAGTGGTTTTAGTTTAATTGAAAAACGTTTGCTTTGCAAGCAAAAGTTCTAAGTTAAAGTCTTAGAAGCTACAGCTGAAAGAAGGAGTTGAACCCTCGTTAAAAGATCCTAAGTCTTTTGCATAACCACTTTTGCTACTTCAGCCTGGGAAGATAGGTATTTATCCTATTATTTCTTGGTTAACGGCCAAGCGCTTTTACATTTAGCTACAGCCCAAGCTAATAAGGATTAGTTTAATTGGAAAAACGAAGAGCTTTGACTTCTTCTGCTTGGGTCCATTCCCCACTCCTTAAATTCAAGAGAATAAGGCTTACCTTACATTGCAACTCCCAAAGCTGCGGTTTTTTATTAAACTTTCTCCTGAGGTTCTTCATTATATATTATTTAGAGTCCCCCCCCCCCCCCCCCCCCATATGCAAAAGAGGTAATACCGAGAAACCCGAACGACGAAGGAGAGAGGGGTGGGAGCTGTGATGGGGATTCTTAGCCTTGAGAGGGAGTTTACCCTCTCTCCTGGTTTACAAGACCAAAGCTCTAGTTGTTGAGCTTTCAAGGCCTTAAGCTCCTATTGAGATTTTAACTCAAACTTAAGAGCGTGAAAAGCTCTTGGTTGTGTTTCAACTATAGGGGCATTTTCGCGTCCGGTGTGCCTATTGTGTTACGACTTGTCTCCCCTTGTGTAATCTTAACTAGGCGAGAGTGACGGGCGATGTGTACGCATTCCAGAGCTCTTTTCAGCCCCATTCTCTTAGTGGGCCTACTGCTGAATCCAAATTCCGAGGGGTATTTCATCCCTCCTTCCAACTGGTTTGTTCAAACATTGTAGCTCACCTATCCCCAACTTATAGGCTGCACCTTGATCTGACGTCCAGGGTTCTCCCTTAAAGTCAACTTTCTCAAGAAGTAGACTTACGACGATGGTATACAAGCTGGTGTTACAAAAATTGGTGAGGTGGATCGTGGGTTATCGATTCAATGGCAAACTCTCCAGGGAGGTTTGGAAAACCGCCAAATCCTTTGAATTTTGAACTTTAGGGGTGTTACACTTCTAAGTATAACAGGGTATCTAATCCTGGTTTAGGCCTTAGATTTCGTGGCTTCAAATGCTTAATTTGGGGGTAAGGGTATCGTGTGGGATTAAAATTATACCGCTAGCCCAAAGCTACAACCAATGAACTTTTCTAACACCCTTTTCACCGTACTATTTAACTGTAGGAATTACGTATAACCGCGGTGGCTGGCAACGTATTTTACCTCCTTTATACTTCCCTTGCTAAATCCGGATTTTTCTGATTGTCTAATATTTAGCACTGCAGTTGAGCAGACTCTCTTGCTTAGTGTCGTGGGCTCATCTACTTAGTGCCTGATACTGGTCTTCTCTTTCCCTTTTCTTCTTTCCAGGTTTTAGGGAATAAGATTCTATTTCACTGGTTCGCTAGTGGACTTGCATGTGGCACCTCAACAGTAGTTAAGATTGGGACTAGGACCAAATCGGCTGCTAAGGGAGGGACTTTAACTCCCTTTGAAGCATTTTCAGTGCTGTGCTTTAATCCGTTAAGCTACCTTTGC